AAGAGGAATTCAAGATCAAAGAATTTTTGACTAACATAATTAGGCTATCAACGGCCATCGACGACGAAGATTAAGCAAGGCACTGCGGGCAGACAAAGGCATTCTGGCACTATTTACCTGCCTAGTGTGTGGCCATAGTATACGGGGAGGGAGAGAGACTGGGAGGGGGTGAGGGCGAGGGATCGGGACGCACCTCCTTTGTTTATGTTGGCATCGAGAGTCCTCTCTGTCGCTACCTGCCCGCTGTGTGTATGGCGCGAGTTAGTGTTTATCTGTTCGTTGGGCTTTTACCGTGGAATCCAGGAGCAGGGTGTGCTCTTCAGGGATGCGAGCATGTGAGTTTCTTTGTTATTTCACTTGTCCTTATTCTCTGTCTTTATCTGTCTCTCTACACCCCTCCCCCGCCTGTTCCCCCCCCTCTCTCTCTCTTCTCTTTCTCTCTCTCTCTCTCTCTCTCTCTCTCTCTCTCTCTCTCTCTCTCTCTCTCTCTCTCTCTCTCTCTCTCTCTCTCTCTCTCTCTCTCTCGTCAGTTTCCTTTTCTCTTCCCCTCTCTTCTCTTCTCTTCCTCTCATCTCCTCTCCCTCTTCCTCTCCCTCTTTCCCTCCCCCTTTCACTCCCCTTCTCCCTCTTTCCCTCCCCTCTCCCCCCATTCTTTTCTCTCTCTCCTCTCTCTCTCTCTCTCTCTCTCTCTCTCCTCTCTCTCTCTCTCTCTCATCAGTTTCCTTTTCTCTTCCCTCTTCTTCTCTTCTCTCCTCTTATTTCCCTCTCATCTCCCTCTCCCTCTTTCCCTCCCCTTCTCTCTCACCCTCTCCCTCTTTCCCTCCCCCTCTCCCCCCATTCTCTCTCTCTCTCTCAGTTCCTTCTCTCTTCCCCTCCTCTCTCTCTCTCTCTCTCTCTCTCTCTCTCTCTCTCTCTCTCTCTCTCTTCTCTCTCTCTCTCTCTCTCTCTCTCTCTCTCTCTCTCTCTCTCTTTTTCTTTCTTTCTTTCTTTTTTCCTCTCCCTCTCTCTCCACTCTCCCCCTCCCCTCTCCTATCTCCTTTCTCCTCTCTCCCTCCCTCCGTCAGCTATATATATATATGTGTGTGTGTTGAGAGAGAGAGAGAGAGAGAGAGAGAGAGAGAGAGAGAGAGAGAGAGAGAGAGAGAGAGAGAGAGAGAGAGAGAGAGAGATTGCTGCGAGGGAGGAAGCGAATGAAATTTAGCATCCTAGGGGCTGAGGCTCGATTACATGATGGGGAACTTCATTTTAGGAAGCAAGTAATGTTGATGAGTGGATAATGCGAGGAAAACGCTGTCAGCTTGTGGTAATATGGGAGGCGCCGCTTGTGACTGCGTGGGTGGGTGGGGCTGCTGGAGGAGAGGGGGTGGGGGGAAGTTGCCATCTTGGGGGCCGGGAAAGGGAGGCAGACAGGCACGCGTGGGAAACTTTCTCCGCGTTTCTAAGGCACGCTTGGATGACGTTCGCGAGATGTGTTAGCAAATGGCTCGGCAATTACGACAGCGTCCATCGTGCGGATTTCGGTAAAGCCCCTACGTAACATGGAGAAACTCACGCACGTGCAACCTCGCTCATACATTCGTAGCAACATGTACACGTTGCACATGCAGCCGCACATCGCGAACGAAAACGCTTGGACGTATAGCGTGGTTATTAGATAGTATGGCAGCCCCCCTTGCCCCTTATCTCCTTCCCCATTCATTCTTTTGGTTGATGATATTAGAGGAGGGCAGACTCGACAGCGAAGTGCACCACAACAAGGCGGTAGATGTTGCGGACGAGGAACACAGGCCCCGGTGAGATTGTGTAAAGGGTCGGAACTGAGTAAATGTTTTTGCGGCAATGAAAATAAATCGAGGCACCACAGTGGTATTTTATCCGTCTAACCTTCCCCCTCTCTTGTTACCTCCCCCCCTTTCCCTTTTGCGTGTTCTCCGCCCCTTTTCCCCCTGCCTGCCCTGTGCCCCTCCCCTACCCCTCCCTTTCCCTTTCCCTCTCTCCCTTCCTCTCTATCCCTCTACCTCTACTTCTACTTCTCTCTCTCTCTCCCTCTCCCTCTCCCTTCCCCCTCTCCCTCTCTCGTCCCCCCCTCTCCCTCTCCCACTCCCACTCCCTTTACCTCTCCCCCTCCCTCTTCCTCTCCCCCCCCCCTCCCTCTTCCTCACCCTCTCCCCCTCCAATAACATTCCTCTACCCGAGACCGGCGCTGTCCCTGTGCATATTGCCCTGCGTGAACGCGCCTCATCATGTTGACACATAGTATGGGCAGCATCCCTGGCCTAAGACCGCGTCAGGTGTTGCTAGTCTAGTGTGGTGATGCTGTTGCTGACATGGTCGATATTAGCGCGTTCGTTCTGGTCGTACTCAGGTTTAGGTCCTTTGGGTGCACCTGTTGGAGGCGAAAGAATTGCAGGATCCCCTTTTCTCCCTCTCACCTCTCTCTCTCTCTCTCTCTCTCTCTCTCTCTCTCTCTCTCTCTCTCTCTCCCTCTCTCCCTCTCTCCCTCTCTCCCCTCTCTCCTTCTCTCCCTCTCTCCCTCCCTCTCCTTCTCCTTCTCCTTCTCCTTCTCCTTCTCCTTCTCCCTCTCTCTCTCGTTCTCTCTCTCCTCTCCTTCTCCTTCTCCCTCTCTCTCTCGTTCTCTCTCTCCTCTCCTTCTCCTTCTCCCTCTCTCTCTCGTTCTATCTCTCCTCTCCCTCTCTCTCTGCTCTCCCTCTCTTCTCCTCTCCTTTCTCCTTCTCTTCTCCTTCTCCTTCTCCTTCTTCTTCCTCTTCCTCTCCTTCTTCTCCCTCTTCCTCTCCTTCTCCCTCTTCCTCTCCTTCTCCCTCTTCCTCTTCCTTCTCTCCTCTCCTCTCCTTCTCCCTCTTCCTCTCCTCTCTCCCTCTTCCTCTCCTCCTCTTCCTCTCCTCCCTCCTCTTTCTCTCCTCCTCCCTCTTCCTCTCCTTCTCCTCTTCCTCTCCTTCTACCACCCTCGTTTATTCTAATTAGTTTTTATAAGTTACCGTTAATGTATCTTTATTTTGATTGATTTATCTCTTTCCTGATTTTTATGTTAAATGTAGTTTGATGATGTGGTGATTAATTTCAAGTATTTCTAAAAATAAAGTAGTTTTTATTACGCCCGAAGTGCCTACATTGCATTGAAAGCGGAACGATGATTGCCAGCAAACATTTTTATTTTAATGACATGCTTTTCTTAAATAAAGTTTATTAATAGTTTTTTTTTGCCTATTTAAAGAACATTTTCACTTATTTCGGTTTGTTTACATGGTTTGTTTTATTTTGTTTATGTAGATGTGTTATTTATAACAATATCTAAAGCCTGTGATTTAAGACATTGCAAGCCTGGTGCATGAGCAGAGGATCAAACCCACAAAATACAATTGAACATTGACGAATGCTTCACAATCCGCAGTAGATCATAGGATTGAATTCTGGACATGTGGATTTAGGATAGGAAGGTCAGTCAGAACGTAGAAAAAAATGATTATCTTTATCATTTCTCGAAGGAGGAATACTTTCTCGGTCAGCAGAAAAAATAAATCTATTATTATTATGCGGACCTTTGTCAGGTACAAAAAGCGAAGGGTTATGGACGGCCCCGCATTGACATTGTTTACACAGATTGTCAACCACGTGGGATGAGAGGCGGAATGAGGAGGGCGCGCCGCTCCCCATTTTGGCCGCTGGCAGAAATACCCGCACAAAAAAGCCGAGGTTGCGCGCCCGATTTAGATGCCGTGTGACAGTAGGTTAATGCCAAAGCCAGTGCGTGGGGATCCTCTTCCGCTGACGTTCGGGATCCAGTGAATCACATCGACGGCTGGTCCTCAAGGTCGAGGCTCACCCTTCATTATGCTAATCTTTGAAATTAGGGGGATCGGAGCTACCCCCCCCTTCTCTCTCTCTCTCTCTCTCTCTCTCTCTCTCTCTCTCTCTCTCTCTCTCTCTCTCTCTCTCTCTCTCTCTCTCTCTCTCTCTCTCTCCTCTCCTCCCTCCTCCCTCCTCCCCTCCCTCCTCCCTCCTCCCTCCTCCTCCTCCCTCTCCTCCCTCCTCCCTCCCCTCCTTATCCCTATCCCTATCATTCTCTCCGCCGTGATCCTTATCCCTCTCTCGTTCCTTCTCCCTCATCCCTTCTCCTCCTCCCCTTCCCTCCCCTCCCCTTCTCTTCCCCCTCCCCTCTTCTCATTCCTCCCTCCTCCCTCTCTTCCTATCTCTGAAATACAAGAGCGAGGTACTGGAACAACTTGAAATATGTTTTGCAAATTCTGATTACCGCAAGGTGGTGCATACTTGCTCAATGCGCAAGCAATGACACATACCTTTTGACATTGTAATTACAAACAAAGGATCCTTGGCATTACCGCCATACTGGACTCCCCCACCTTCTGCACTGGTTGTCACTTCCTTACTCAACCGACTCACCATGACTCACCATTCGGGTGATTCACCGCTCGCGCTTGGGCCCCGTAGACTGCTCCCCAAACCTGAGTGAATCACCTCAGCATCCGTTTCAGATATTGCAGTGTTCACACGACACCCAGGGTACGTCGCCGCGATTTTGTGAGCAGCCATTGAACGCGTGTCCCTGCCTCTTGAACGCTTGAGTGTACAGGTGACATCCGTACTTCCTTTGACAGACGAATTAGTGCCAGGGCCATATGCCAGGGCACCTTGTGCGTATGTACGCCAAGTGTTCCTGGCGCAAATAGACCTACTTGAGGGAAGTCTTTGACGGTAACCTGCCCCTCCCCAATCCGAAGACCTCTGTCATCCCTTCTAATTCTATAGAGAGTGAAGACCATTCGATACTTTAGTGAGCTTTACTCACTTAATCAGTTCAGACTAAATACATTACAAGTGTACCTGTAATGTGATTTGGTAGGCGTAGTCAGTGCATTTTAAAAGTGGAGGCGAAAAGGAAGTGTTTGGCACTGAGTATGGAGTGCGAGTGCCTACCGCGTAACCGCATGCCTCGATAGAAGGTGCCTGGGTGGGGAGCCTCCGCAGTGTTCAACTAGTGGGTGCCAGAGACACACGCACGCGCGAACCCTCCAGTCTCTCCTCAAGTGTTGCCTTGCACGAGGCGAGAGTTCTGCTCTCCCAACGGACGCTTGGTGGCGGGGTGTGGACTGTGTTTGAAATAATCTTCTAAGGTGTGGTGCTTATGGTTGTGATGCTGCCTGTAACGTGACCAGCAAAACACATGTTGATAAGATGCCAGAACATGAAAGGAAAGGAAGCGAAGAATTCACATTCTGACAGATTGGTGTAACAGTGGAGTGTAATTTGGGTGTCAGAGCGACGGATCATTGCAAGTGGCGTGTTATTGCCTAACATCGTAATTGTTTCATTTCGCATTATAGTGTTGCTTTATTTTGAGACTGTATAAAGTTGAATGAGTAGAGTGGGAATCATTTCAGCTCCTCCACTGTTACCACAGAACTACAGTGGGTAGGAGCGGCTTTGTTCCTGCAGGCGTGTTTAGAGATGACCTTCAAACTACAGTGTTGCAGATGTGATGCTACTGCACTTTTGTAGTATTATCGCCTTTAAAGTGTTCTGCAGTGGCACGGGATAGCACGGAGTTTACCCCCTTAATAAACTTGTTGCACAATGGCCTTTAGAAGATGAGGACGCACAGCGGGAACTGTAAGGGGTGGTTCCTCTAAAGCTTCCGTGATGTAGGGAAATGCAGTTGTTTTCATGGTGGAGACCCTAACCACATCCCCCAGCGATAGTGCCAACAAGACGCTCCCTGGCCTCGCCTCGCCTCGCCGTCATCACGACACCTACACGACCCGTCATCTGCCCTTCTCCCTCCCCTCTCTCCCCTCTCGCTCCTCCCCCCCTCCTCTCGCTCCCCTCGCCGTGTATGGCGTCGCGAACATCTCGCTGGAAGAAATCGCACCCTGCAAAAGACGGAAGTTGTCGCGATATAAGGAACGCCTTACTGAGAACGCCATTTCCGCCGTAGAACTTTCAATGCAGTGTACCGAAATCATCACCGTCCTTCGTCTTATATTCATCTGGGCAAATCATCCCCATGCCAGGAATATACATCAGACCAAAACGGATCTCGAAAAGCTTCATAAAAAAATCGTTAGATGATTTTTTTCATCTCAGTCATGGGGGATATTGATGCTGCCATGTAATGCTGAAATATGGAAATAATTTCTGGTGACGACGATACCCAAGATCTTGGAAGATCAACGAGCTCCTATGGCGGGTGGAGGGTGATTATGGTAATGGTAGCTGCGATGATGGCGGCGGTGGCGTTGGGGAAGATTATGTGAGAGAGGGTTCGGGCTCTCCTTCGTCGGCTCCTTGTTCCTTTCTGTTTCATCATCATCGTCCATTTGATTGCCATCGTTATCATCACCATCGTATTACATATGTGTGTCTGTGTTTATGTGTGTGTGCGTTTTGTGTGTGAGTGTGTGTGAGTGTATGCGTGTGTGTGAGTGTATGCGTGTGTGTGAGTGTATGCGTGTGTGTGAGTGTATGCGTGTGTGTGAGTGTATGCGTGTGTGTGAGTGTATGCGTGTGTGTGATGTATGTGTGAGTGTATGCGTGTGTGTGAGTGTAGTGTGTGTGTGTGTGTGTGTGTGTGTGTGTGTGTGAGTGTGTGTGTGTGTGTGGAGTGTGTGTGTGTGTGGTGTGTGTGTGTGTACATGTAGTTAGTATTAATGTGCGTGTTGTCGGGTGTGTTACTGTAAGTATGCCTATCTATTTTGTATCTTTTTGGATGTTCCTCTCCCTCTTCCCCTACATATATACCCCGTCTGTTTCTTCATTTATTACTTTGCTCCAATACTCCTTTCTTTTGTCTGTTTCTTTCTTTCTCCCTCTCCCCCTCCTCTTCTCTTTCTGCCAATGTGTATATCTGTCTCTTCCAGTCATTTCTCACATGCACAGGAGGAGGAAGCGAGTGCAGTCGTAATGCCTAGGTTTCTGGCTCGTGTTACCCCGGTATACGAATAGTCACAGTGACCTTGTCACGCCTTGCCAATAAACGCTCGGCCTGAGAGCTGTGTCCAGTCCGCGCGCTCATGACGTCTGTGCATCGTGGGACGGCCGTCGTCGTGCATTTAGAAGTGCAGCCTTGATATTCTTTTTCGTGACTTTGTTAGTGCCGATCTGATTGTTGTTGTTGCTGTTTGCTTGTGTTTAACGAGAAAACAAATTATTTTTTTAGACCGCGTCGTTGTGATGTCTTGGCAGGAACTGCATGATACGGATGTCGTTGGCTGTCCCGTTGTGTAATTCTGTTCCTTGGACGGGCGAGAGGGGCTAAAAACAATAGAGGGCTAAGCTTGTAGGAGCGCTTTCTATTGCTCCAGCTGACTCCTTTCTCGCTCATCGCACATTGTTGTTTATTGAGGACCATTGTGTGCCCCGCCTGACTGCTGCGTCTGACAGATGACTGCTTGCATATGACGCCTGCTGGCAGACTCCTTTTCGACTGCAGATTTGCTTGCTCTTCGACACCCTGTTGCTGACGTTTGTTTATTAGGGCGATTGTTATGTAATAGATGTGCCTGATAGATGGAGATTTTGCGTTTCGAGTCCACATTTTCCTCGTTAAATCTACTATGTCGGGTTTGAGTCCCGTAAGTCCATTCGATAATCGTAATGAGTGACAGCTGGGGCAACATAGAGCTCTGAGGTGGCTGGTTGAAAATTGAAAGGTCGGTGAATATGGCGTAGCAGATGTTACCACTACGGCCTTTGAACAGTGACGATGAACAGTGCTTAGCTCCAAAGTCGTGATAGATACAGATAATTATGAGACAATCGTGGTAATGCCTGTAATAGGACCACATGTTTTATCTTTGACATAATTTTTTACTCTAAAAATTTCAGATTAGATTGATACGGAAAATGGTGTAGTGATAATCTGTAAATGTTGAAGTGTTTTGAAATGGAAAAATACTGTAAAGAAAGAGACATGGAAATTGTATAAGTGAAAAAGGAGACCTGTACTAAAATAAAATCAGTGCGTGCGTGAGCAAGAGCGGCGTGGTTTATCTTCACACGTCACAGACATGTCGCTCTTGTCCCTCACGGCAAAGATGGCGGCGGCCGTGCAGTGTGGAGGAGGCTCACTCGGCTCCAGGTCACGCAG